CGGGATGCGCTCTGCAGGTTGGCTGAATGCCGCTGCCACAGGAAGCCTGTGGTGGTTAGGGTGCTCTGAAGGTGCTTTAAGTTTTGCAGTTCTTCCTCCATCACTTGAAAAGAACATGGAGTAAAATGGATGAGACACTGGTGTTGATGTGGGTGGGGGAGGCAAGGAGGGAGGTTGTGGGGAAGGAGGCACATGGGACATGACAGGCTGATGGGCAAAATGAACCTCAGGACTTGGACATGATTGTGACTGAATGCCGGGTGATGGTGAGGGAATGATCTGAGGGGAAGTGACCAGAGGCATACTCACTTGGCTGGATATATGGATGTTTGCATGGTAGGAAACCCCTTCGTTGGAGGAATGTTCTGAGTCAACAATTTCACTTTTCACCACAGGGACTTCTCTCGTGGTATCTCCATCTTCCTTCACAGCCCACTCATTTGGTTGCTCATTGTCTGCTCCTTCTTGGATCAGTTCAACAAGACTTGACTTGCCACCATTGAGAGAAAAAGAGTTTAACCTTTCATATATTTTAGTATGTTGCAGATACTGACATGTCTTCCTGAAGGCATCAACGATGAGCTTCAGTTGCAGGTTCGGAACATATAATTGGTAGTCCTTGCAGTAACTGCATGATGGCTTCAAGCGCTTCTTTCCGCCAACACAGCTCTTGCACACACTATGTTGACAATGCTGATCTGATGGACTTCTTGGTTCCTCGATAATGCACCCACAAACTGTGCAGGCCAGCGCATGGCGCAATTGCGGCAAAAGCTTGTACAGGTCTCCCCAGCTCGTACTTTCCTCAACGGATGCCTCCACGACAAGTTTGCACATTTTCAGGTGAAGTGAAAGAGCATGACTTGATGACATCATGCAAACCCGATTCAAAGCCTTTCAACTGCCTCGTGCATCACATATCAAATTTCAATAATACCAACAAATCGCACGGGGCACGCCGTGTTGGACATGCCTAAGAGCTGGACTTTTTGCACGCGTTCCCCGCCAGGGGGCGCCACTGAGGAAGCACCCTCTGACGTCACGATAAAACTGCGCGCACTGTGCGCACGGTTCTGTAAGCAAGTAATATAGTGGTGGTTTCGTGGTGGAAATTGGAATAAGTATTTTTACGTTGTAAAATTTCAAGCCGTTTTTGTGAAATTAATTAGTAAATGCATTTCAAAAGCATTTATTTAAAGTGTGAAAGGAGAATAATTAGAAGAACATGGATATTTTTGTTCCAATAGCTTATTATGTGAGACATGATCGGTACTAACGGGTACTTCTAAGAAGTAGTGAAGAAGTACCAAACAGCCTGCTCGGCTACGATCGTCAGCTGTCCTTTGGAGCTGGACTTCAACGCTGTAAAAAAAATATATGCTGAATTAATTTTTAGTTTCACCAAAATATAAGCAATTTATCATTTCTTTTTCACTTTTGTAATTATTGTTGAGTGAAGAGACATGTTGCTAGTTCTGACAATATAAATTATTAATTAAAGATAACGAAATGCGACGGTAAGTATCTGCTACTAAATTATCACTTTAACCAAATACATAGAGAATCTTGCTACCATTGCTTATAAAACGTGCTTATCAATACACAAACGTTTTATTTCAGACAAGAAGGATTTATTTGCCTGAAGTCTTGCGTCATGTGCTACTGCTTTGATTCCAAAGACGCTCTCCGGGTCGGGGTAATTTAGTTCTTCATCGATCGATAAGATTTTGATTCCATTGATATCCAAATTGATAAGCTCGGCACCATGGAGTAAGGGCGTCCCCACAGGGGTGACGCAGGAAATATGAATGGCGTTTACACCGACAGTAGTTTCCCACAGCCGGCAATGGGAATCTCCTGTCGGTGTAAACGCCACTATAGTCTCATCCAACTCAAACACTGGGGAATATCCCCGCACTTTTGAGGACGGAAATCTATGGACCTGCTCGAAAAATAGTGGATAAAATACGGCGAGCTTTCAGTTTTATGGTTGGGTCTCCCTTCCGAGGCACATATTTACGGGGGATATTGGGTCATATTCCCCCGGCGTCCTGATGATCGGCGCCCAGCTCAACGTCGAAGGCGCCCTGATACGCGGCACTGCTATCTGTGAAGGTGCCCAGGTTGCTGCCGCTCGAATTTTGGTCGCCTACTTAACAAAACCTCCGTTGGTGCCATCTCAGTTTCCTCGAGGTCAGGCAACCTTCACACGCCGTTGGCTACCTTGGCTGGCCGGCGACTCGTTCCCCTCGTGGCGACGCTCTTGACATCCAGTCAAAAGTTGGAGTGGCTGGCGCCCCCAGTGGGGGCCGGGGAAGGGGCAGTGGGCCTCCACGTTGCTCTCTTCCCGAGCCTATGGTGACTTGGCTCAACTCTCCTCAATAGAATCTGGATTCTGCACGCTGTATTAACATGGGCGTAGACACCACTACGGACAATACGGACAGTGGGTATGACAATCAGTAGTGCTATTCATATAGAGGGTGTCATATATGAGCGGAGAGGCAACAGTACAGCTGAGCGGAGAGACAACATTAAAACAACAGTACAGCTGGCGTTGCATGGAGCTGCAGGCAACCGGACAGCGGAGGCTTGCGAAAAATAAGCAATTCGTCACTTCAACGTATAAACAATAGTAAAAGCAACATAAACACATATTCTCATGGTCGGACCCATGCACTAGCGGCTCACGGCGGGCACAGGAACGCAGTGCGGTAGCGGTACCGGATCACACGTCATGGGCGTTGTCTCAGCATAGGTTGTTATGAGCGGAGAGGCAACAGTACAGCTGAGCGGAGAGACAACATTAAAACAACAGTACAGCTGGCGTTGCATGGAGCTGCAGGCAACCGGACAGCGGAGGCTTGCGAAAAATAAGCAATTCGTCACTTCAACGTATAAACAATAGTAAAAGCAACATAAACACATATTCTCATGGTCGGACCCATGCACTAGCGGCTCACGGCGGGCACAGGCACGCAGTGCGGTAGCGGTACCGGATCACACGTCATGGGCGTTGTCTCAGCATAGGTTGTTATGAGCGGAGAGGCAACAGTACAGCTGAGCGGAGAGACAACATTAAAACAACAGTACAGCTGGCGTTGCATGGAGCTGCAGGCAACCGGACAGCGGAGGCTTGCGAAAAATAAGCAATTCGTCACTTCAACGTATAAACAATAGTAAAAGCAACATAAACACATATTCTCATGGTCGGACTCATGCACTAGCGGCTCACGGCGGGCACAGGCGCGCAGTGCGGTAGCGGTACCGGATCACACGTCATGGGCGTTGTCTTAGCATAGGTTGTTCGCAATCTAGTTGAAGCCTAAGAAGACGGCCAGTGGGGTCTCACTGCTGCTGAGGCGACCTCGGAGACGATGCGTCGCCCCTCCTGTCGGCGACCTGCGGTGAGCAGGACTCCAGATAGCTGGCTGGCACGTTGCCGACACTGCCAGACGCTGTCAGCAGGCCTCACTGCTGCAAGTGATGTGCAGATGGACGCCAGGTGACTTCGTCTGCAGGCGATTCCGGAGACCGCGGCCTCACCAGGCAGTACCACCTGCATCGCCATGTCGGTGTTTCTAGAAATGGAAAAATAACAGTATTGGTGAAGGACAAGCAATACAATGTATTCTGTTTTCCTCTCTTGCAGGTATACGTAATCTACAATTATCATTGTTCCTATCCCATTCAACTGAACCTGAAAATTCCATATTGGCACATTGTTTGACTAAATTTGTGTAGTTGGGAACAGGGGCGACGCCACAGTGCGACGACTGGAGGGGACATTGACCATTTTGGAGGGGACGAGGACCATTTCAAGTCGATTCTTTCCATGCAACGCCATAGGCGTAACGTTAAAATTTTAAAAAGTGGAGGGGACGAGATCCCCTCCGTCCCCCCACCCTGTGGCGACGCCCTTGGTTGGGAAGCAGATTGTTTGAAATACATGTTTGGCTGAACAGTGCGGAAAATATTTCATTGATCACTACAGCTGCAACAAAAATACTGAGACAGAAAACATTTGCGCTTACCTGGCTCCTTAGTCCTTAGTCAGTCCCGCACAACGGAAGTGGTACCATTTATTTATCGCAGCCATCGCATCCGACCATCGGTGCTGCACTGATGCTGCTGCACTCCCCACATTCCCAGTAGGTACCTTAGGAGCGTCTTGGCTGTGAAAAGATTACATGAGTCATGGCGCATACATGAATAGTAAGATGTTTTATATGTTTAACATCGCATAGCAAAGACACAACAGCTGGGAGTCAAGTGTAAGCCAAAGTGTAAGCCCTGCCATGTTTTGCAGACTGGATTTTAAGCAAGAAAAGCTTTGCTAAAAATGACGCTTGACGAAGCCTCATCCTACTGGGCTGTCTGACATGTCTCCCTGTAAAAAGCATGTAACCCTTATATTGTATATATGATGAATATGTTAATAATGCAGAGAAAACACAGTATAAATTATACCCAACGTTTCATCTTAATCGACTTTGTCAAGGGTGTTTGAACAGCTTGAGATGAGTGAAATGTAAGGGTACCTAGGTACATCTGAAAATAAACTGAATCTGCGTTCAATAAACATTGATTTTGATAATACATTTCACAAATCAACTGCTAATAACAATCATACTAAAATAGCACGACAGATAACTAACAATCGCATGAAGAACTTCTTGATTCGCCTTGACATTGTCGTCCGATCGAATGTTGTCTGAAGTTACACATTTGTCTTTTCTGCGCAGCATTTGTGTTTGCCATTTACCGCACCAAATGTTCGCCAGCGGTGGTGACCTTTCCTTACCTGCTCACGAAACGTCACACACGACATGACGTCACCCGAAGACGTCATCAAAAAGTCCAGCTCTTAGGCGTGTCCGCCGTGTTTCGCGAATGTCACTTTTGATGCAAACATGCGCCACATCTGTCTAAAATGCATCCATTTGATTGAATGAAGGAATATTGACACCATATCCGTAAAAAACTTTGTCATTAGAACACATGAAGGGACGCATGCTTTTTTGGGGGTTTTCACGATTTTTCACAACCTTGTATTACAACCTTGTTTTATTGTGGCTTTGTTGAATTATAAAACAAGTTTTGAGTAATGTTGATCGTTTGAACCTGTTTGAACTGTCATCTCAAGGGTAGGTGCTGTATGTGATTATTGTGATGTCTGTTGTGGGGCATAGATAATTCAAATTTGCTTTTATCACAATCATCATCATTGCTGCATGAAACAACTGATTGATTTTGAAATATTCTTAGCATGTACACCTCAAAGTTCAACTTGTGCTGCTTCATGATTCATGGTTGATTTCCGCCGGTTTGGGGGTGCCCAAGTTCCCCGCCGGTTCAGCCGGCTTGGCTTTGGAGCCTCAACAGATTGTTCAGGTCAAGGTTACCGTTGGGGCGGCAGCAGATTTGTTACGCCGGGGCACTCCCAACTTGGCAGAAATTAACAACCATGGCATGATTTCAAGATATTTTGGGTCATACTATTAACTGGATTATTTGCCAGCTGGTGCCTGGTGCCGTATGGTGGCGCCAGCAGAGCTTGGTACCTATATATCAATGCTTGATATAAATGACTATAACTGAATGACTATGAAGTTTGAATGACTAATGAGAGAAAGAGAATACCCAACTACAAACTTCATCATTTTTGTTTTGTTCTGAGGGTGGGGTAAATGCCTCAAATGTCCACTTAGATCTACCAATAGTTTCAGCAGATCAGATTAGCCCATTGTATAATATTTGGTCACAACGCATTAGTCATCAACTTCTCAGTTATGAACTTGTCACTAACCAACTAGCCTCAAGACCATAGCTGACCTGCCTGCTTGCTCTCAACCAGCCATCTTGTGCACCAATTTAGGCAAGATGGAAAGGTGAAAGCTCACTACTGAGCCTAGTTGCTACTTACCATACCAATACCATTGCAACATGGCATAGTGCCGGAGCTTTGGCCTCTTTTTGGTCTCCCCTGCAGCCTCTCACTCAGTATCCTGCTGTCCAGAGTGGTGATATCTAACCTATATATTAGGGATCTGGAGGCAAGTACCTTTTCAAGCTTGTTTTAAACAATCTTCAAGCTGAAGCTTCCCCAAGTTTAGGGAAATCCCTGATTGATGATGACCCATTAATTTATAATATGCTCTCAGCTGATGCTCTGGCAGTTATAGTCTACTTATTGACCTCTATAGTAACTAGGTTACTATAGAGGTCAATGGGTCTACTAGATTCAAGGCAAGGCCCAATGCCTAATGCCCAGCAGCTGGGCCATGGATGAAGCTGGCTGAACTTTGTGTGAAGTCAGCTCACCTATGCCAGGTTCTACATGCCTATAAGCCCCAACATTGTGTAACTGAAAAGGTGATGATGACAGCTGCCAAGAATGATGTGCTTGATAAAATGGCATACTTCCTGTTATATGGTGCTGGAAGTTACTTTCATGTAGGTATGGAGAATAGTTATGGCTTATGAGCACAAGTAAGTCTTTCTTGTGCCATGATTGTCATCTGCAGAAAAAATATCTTGTATTAGTGCTGGTTATATTGATGTGCATCATTATGGATAATAAAAATGATATAAATTGAAAAGCTGGTAAGTACCTAGCTTACAAAGCCTCTGAATCCATGCATTGTAGAACAGCATTCAATCATTGTAACTAAATACCTATATGGTTTTCATGTTTAGTGAATCTGCCTGTTGGTAAATTCACATGTAAATTTATTTTTCCTTCCAAGATAAGCTGATTGCTAGATAAAAGTCAGTCACACCAGCCAGCCTGTTTGTATCACTAAATTGATTTTTGTTCTGGTGATCATAAGTCCTAATGATAAAAAACTGCTTCTTCTTTATAATTTGCAAATGTGTCAAAATTACTAGGTGAACTTTCTGCTTTTCCTACAGATCTAGCAAGGGAAACAGGTAGCATGCCATCGACATCAGAGAGCACTGTAAAGGAAGGCCCAGGACAGCCTTCAACCCAAATAACTAAGAAGAAAACTTATCGAATGCCATCGTGGAAAATCAGGTAGGTACTACTAATGTATTGTATTCAAATGTGCTGCATGGTACTGGGTAGTATTGATGTCATACCTATCTGATGTATGACATCAATGCCATCTAAAGAAATGAAATGCTAAAGAAGGCATGAAAGACAATAGCTTGTGCTGTATCAAGATTTTAGGACAGTTTAAAAAGAAATTATACGTTATGCTAGCTACCTTATGTAAAGATGTCTTGATTATTTACCGTAATTGACAGGCGACTAAAGGGACGTGGCATCGGTGCCTTGCTGAAGCAACTGCAGCCAGATGGCTGTGCTGGACAGGATCCCACACCATCAGGTCACCTAGAGGGTGAAACAACCGATCCTGTTCAGAGAATCTCGCACAATGCAGAGAAGTTGTAAGTGATATGCCCTGCGTGTGCCTCTGTCTGTTCATTTAACGGGTACGGGAAGACCATCTCAATTTCTCAGTGCAGGACGTTTAAACGTTTGAGCTTAACACATTTTTTGTCCTTGCATACGATTTCGCCAACCTAGAATGTGCGTGAAGGGTCGGACTAAACCCTGGACAGTGGACATCTCAATTGGCTCTTGAGTCTTGGTTAAAACAACAACAAAACTTTGCTTTGAAGACCAACCAATTTTGACGTGTTTAGTTTTACGATATACGATCACATTAACATTTAACATGTTTAACATAACCATTAACATGTCAACTACTTTCAGGGAGAGCAAAGCGCTTAACCTGGCTAGGAAGTCCGATTCATCCGAGCAAGAAGGCCGGCCTCTGGCGGAACAAGCTCAACCCCCAATAAAGGATAGCTGCAGCTCTCCGGTGCATCCACCTGTCAGCATTCCGAAGTTGGACAAAAGGCTAGCCCAACAAGAGGAAGGTGTCAAAGAAAGTGGCGGAAAGAATGCCTTTAAGAGGAAAATGACTGCGCTTGTTCGAAAGAGCCCGGAATTACGAAAATATTGGCACCAACGCTACCGTCTCTTCTCTAGGTAAGAAGAAAACATTTTTATCGTATCAGATGAAATGCCATGCTTTTTTTGATAAGCTCAATAGGTGCTAAGTGTTTCCACAAAAGTCGGGATGCCGATGCTATGGAAACTAGATTAGTTGACGAGTGATTAACTCTTCCCTGACCCAATTGCGAGTGATGTTAAGGGGTGACACCTCTCGTCTTCGACAGGTTTGACGAGGGAGTTCGTCTGGACCGGGAGGGCTGGTTCTCGGTGACGCCCGAGCGAATCGCGCGGCACATCGCCGACCGGTGTCGCTCGGACGTCATCGTGGACGCGTTTTGCGGCGTCGGCGGCAACGCCATCCAGTTCGCCGCCACCTGCCGGCTCGGTGAGACCGCACACACAACGGGACCTGGGCTGACAGAGAAGACATGAAAGAGCGTGAGGCACGAAATCCTAATGACGTACGGGCTGACATGGTTAATGGTTATATACAGACATTTGTTAGTAAATGAGCCGTGGAAGTCTCCACGTTTTGCTATTACCGACTTAGCTTCTAACGAAATACCGTTGAACCGAAGATCAGTGCTCAGAGACGAAGTGTTTTGACACATGTTTTTCTCCGACAGTGATTGCGGTGGACATATGTCCCGAGCGTGTGGAGCTGGCTCGGTTTAACGCCGGCGTGTACGGTGTGCAGGACCGTATCCAGTTTGTGGTCGGCGACTTTTTCGAGCTGGCACCGCGGCTGCGGGCCGACGCCGTGTTTCTTTCGCCTCCTTGGGGTGGTGAGTGAAATATAAAACATAACGATTTTCTCATGGCTCATGCTGGATATGAAATAGCAAATACGGTGACATGCTGCCTATATGGCCCAAAGTAGTCGCTCAATATTGAGCATGTGGAGAAACGTGGTATCAACAGTCATCTTTTTCATCCATTTTTGTTATGTATCATTCACTTTCCGTTGACCCTCCGCCATTTGTCACAGGTCCTGAGTACTCGAATGCTGAGGTGTACGACATGTACCGACTGGACGGTACAATGGATGGTCGCGAGATGATGCGAGCCGCCCGCTCCATCTCCAAGAACATCGCCCTCCTGGCGCCGCGCAGTGCCGATGTAGATCAGGTGAGATCGACTTCTGTTCCTGATAGTCTGTAGTCAAATTTAGCAGTGTCTGGGAATCTGACCGGTTCCATATCTATTTAATGTTTTATCATGCTTCTTGATCGTTTTGAAACGTTAACGGATAACCTTATCAATTTACTTAGGTTCTAACTATATGGTTTCTATATGGACTCTTTCTAGTTCAAAATCATCATGGTCGAAGTGTGCGGCGCTATCAGTGGAATGAGCATTAGTACCTTCCCTTATCGCTATACTGACGGACCATATTTATCTCAGCTGGCGGCGATGGCCGGCCCGGGCGGTCGGGTGGAGGTGGAACAGAATCTCCTCAACGGCCGGGCCAAGACCATCACGGCATACTACGGGGACCTGATCGGCACGGGCGAGTCATGAGACAGCGGTGAAACGGTGCTTCTGAAGGTGGAATGGCCAGATGGTGCTCCTGTGGTGTATTGTGATGACATGAATACAGAAAAGCCATGCTGTGTTGTAACTTGTAATATGCTTTTGATATGCACTGAAGATGGGTGTTGAACATGTTTATAGTTTATCTGACGTAACGACAATGCCACAATACGTGAGTAACCACATGTATTTGTCATTCACAGATTCACTTGCATTTCGAATCGTTCCGTAATACTCACTCCTGAGAAATGATGAGTTCACATTTGTTCAAAAGCTGATTTATCAGCATACTTTGCAACGAATATCCGACTCGCAATCCCACTGGCGGGGTGGGGAAGGGGGGTCGTTGAACATCAACAAAGCTTCGCCAACGCTGTGGGAACTGTACAGGAGAAACATCCAAACTATAGAACACTTCAGTCCTTCAGTGCTAGCGCACTTCAACAACCTACGCTGACTTCACTCGGAGGTGGACGGGGTGGCACCTGAAGGCACCGGCCGTTCCGCCTCACTCAGCAGGCGCAGACGCTCCGCCTGGCGTGCTGCCAGCAGGCGGCGGAGGCAGAACGCCTCCTCCCTCAGACGGGCCACCCGCGCTCGCAGCACCGCATTCTCGCCGTCCAGCCAGCAGGCGCGCAAGTTGATCTGATCTTCACGCGCCTTCCGACTGTCGCGCGACCGCTTGGCGGCCAAGTTGTTTCTTCTGCGGCGCTCGAAGTACTTCTGGTCCTTGAGGGCGTCCGGGATGGCGCGTTTGGCGCCCCGGGGGCGTCGGGCGCCGGCGCCCTGCAGCGCCCGCGCCACCAGCGGACTGCTGAGACCCACCACTCCCGGAGGCAGCAGTGAGAGAGGAGCCAAGGAGGGCGGCGCCACGGGCGTCCCAGCCACCGACATCTCCGCCTCGCCCGACATGTTCACCGGAAAATAGAAGAATGGCACTTTGTTTTTGTCTTCTGTTGCCATCAATGACAATGGTCACTTATTCAGCAGAGTAGCGATTTCTTTGAAGATGGCGAAAAGGCCAAGGATCTAAGATCTTCTTCAGTGTCACTCCTGCTCACCGAAATCTCACCCAGTACTGCCTCTTGGTCGTAATCATGCGTGAACCACCACCGAAACCCAGTCACTGCGACCGGCGCGAGGTGAATGCGCAGAATGCCGACTGTGGTGACACCAATGCCGCTTCGGATTGCCTCGGGCTAATTGGCGATGCGCATTGATCGCAGCGTGGGAGCAACCGCAGCTGCCTGGCTGGTGGCCGCTGATTTCGGCCCGGTCCGGCCGGTGCTGGTGGTGGCTCCACCCGATCGATTTATGATATCTGTACCTGTAGTGATTGTTTTGCTATTTGCTGAGTTGAATCTTAGTTGGGAGCCGGTTGGCATGATCGAGTTATTTTAGAGAGCTTTTATTACCCTCGGCCTCTACCATGCGCTTGGCAGTTGGCATTGAGCACTAACAGATTTGAAGTGGCTTGGGTATCGCTCGAAGATGTATCGCTGGAGCTTTACACCAATGACGTAGTGACAGACCTGCTTTATTACATATATTCTGACTTCTGGTGAAGGTCAGGTCAAATTAGGGCAAATTTCAAAGCTGATATTTTTGCATAAAATGGGTATCGTTTCGATGCAGCTCTCGTCATGGGGAGTCTAATGGTGGTCCTTTGTTTTGCGCTACGTGGTGTAGAATTGCTAAAAATTAATTTTGAAAACTTGACTTCATCATTTTGAACAGTTTTTTTTTCGCCATAACTTGGCCAAAAAGAGACATCGATCTCAAATGTGTTATGTGGATAGGAGACGGTAGAGACTATTATATATATATATATATATATATATATATATATATATATATATATATATATATATATATATATATATATATATATATATATATATATATATATTAATATATATATATATATCTATATATTCCGTTGTTTTCGAAATTGCATAGTAAAACATTTGGATTTTTTTTGCTGTTTTATCCAAAAAATTACTTTTTTGATTTTGTTGGGTCAAAATAAAAAAAATAAACATAAAAATCCGATATAGCAGTTTATAGTCCTATCAACCCTAAATCGTTTAAGTCAAAAACATTTTTCTGTATATCTTCAAAGCTGTAGGCCTGACAGTTCTTCCCGCGAAACCTTTTTTGGGTCGAAAATGGCAGAACACGACGTCATTCTGACATCATTCGTGGCCAACCTATCATAGCCTCTGGAAAAATATTTGGTCACTTTATGTAAAATTGATGCCCGGAGTGGTCCTCAAAGTTTAGTGACGATATCTGCAGTCGTTTAGGAGATATCTACGGAAAATGAGGGGGGCCGTTTGGCCCCCTCCCCCTACGGGGCGCGGGTTAAAAGTGACATTTTTGCTTTGAGGCTGATTTTTTCGTAACTTATTCGAAAAGATGCATCAACAGGCGTGCCGCTAAACTATTTGCGGAAGGCCTGGCCGCCTGAGGCCTGAGGGACAATGATTATCATTTTATGTTGACAAATGCAGCGTGACTGAGCATTCAGAATGTTTGTAGCGTCACACGCTACGTGATACGTCATATTTTTAAACACTGATGGAAGGGTTCTTGTATTTCATTAAAACAGCTGCCTTGGCGAAAAATAACCAATTATAATTTGTCGTAACACGAATTATATTTATTTTTCTTCATCCCAGGCGTGTTTTTGACGAAATTCTGGAAGATGATGATAGCTTTTTCATACACGTCACGTGCGTTGATAGCCTAACAAGATGCGTAAATGCGGCCAAAATATTGTGCATTGGGTTCCGGCTGTTTACCGTTAAATTCTACGTGCCTTATTATCATGTCAACATGGAGCTCCCGTTTACGATAAACATACAGGTGTTAAACATATATTTAGACACCAATTCAAGTATGCAAGTCAGCAACCTAAATCTGCTTAGTACGCATGGACAAGTCTGATGATGAAGAAAAATCGACTGGTGTGACAGATGGCAATGATGAAACTGAACACAAGCAGGAGGCAGGTGAAAATCATGACAGTGATGAGGAGCTTCCGTCCGAAGAAGCCGACTTTATTGCGCTGCCTGCTCGCACAAGCCTCGTTAGATACTTTGTTATGGTTACGGTAGCAATTACTTGGATATCATTTATCATCGCGTGTGGAGTAACGACATATCTTGGAGTTATATCGAAACCCATATTGGATCCAAGCCGTTTCTTCTACGCCGGCTGCTACATTGGAATGACTTCGTGCATTGTTGGATTTGGAGGCGCCGAGGACATTCATAAACAAACTCTTTGGATATATTGTGCTCTGCTGTCTTTGGCGTTGTGCTTGACATTGTGTGGCATCATCGGTACTGGAGGTGTGATACTTCATGGAGCTCTGGACAATGACACATCAGTGTGGACGGTCGATCCCAAAAGGTTTCGACGGTCATTTATTGTTTCCTACAATGAAACGTATTTTGATGGATACGTCCCAAATATCCGCCATCAAAAGAAGAAATCAGGATTAACATCTCTCATAACCTCACGGAAGGCGGCGGCGATAGATTATGACCATCGAATGTGGAAGCAATTCAGTGATCCAACGGTTCTCACAAATATGACCGTAACTCTTATAGTGTTCGAGGTTATATCGTTAATACTTGGTCTTTGTCTTCTCAAATTTTCTGGTGATCAGTGGTGGATTCTTTGGCGAATAGACATGTAAATAGCACTACTGTGTCAAGTTTCAAACGGTTACAAATGAACGAAGCCTTCCTAATACCTGTGCAGTGTGGGGGACCATCAAAACGTCCAAAACCGCAGCATCCAAAGTACGCAACATCCAAAACCGCAGCGTCCAAAGTACGCAACGTCCAAAATACGTCAAAAATCGGGTATATAGGGAGCATTCACAACGTCCAAAACCGAAACATCCAAAACCGCAACGTCCAAAAACGTGTCATCCAAAAACGCAACATCCAAGGACGCATCATCCAAAGGACGCAACATCCAAAGGACGCAACATCCAAAGTACGCAACATCCAAAGTACGCAACATCCAAAACCGTCAGTTTAGGTTAGGTGAGGCAAGGTTAGGTTAGGTTTCCTTATCCCCGGTAGGCATAAATCAGTAGGTTAGGTTAGGTTAGGTTAGGTTAGGTTAGGTTAGGTTAGATTAGGTTAGGTTAGGTTAGGTTAGGTTAGGTTAGGTTAGGTTAGGTTAGGTTAGGTTGGGTTAGGTTAGGTTAGGTTAGGTTGGGTTTCCTTATCCCCGGTAGGCAAAAATCAGTAGGTTAGGTTAGGTTAGGTTTGGTTGGGTTAGGGATAGGCAAAAATCAGTAGGTTAGGTTAGGTTAGGTTAAGTTGGTTTTGGATGTTGCGTGCCTTGTATGTCGTGGTCTTGGACGTTGTGGTTTTGGAGGTTACGTACTTTGGATGTTTCGTCTTTGGATGTTACGTTTTTTGGATGATACGTTTTTGGACGTTGCGGTTTTGGATGTTTCGGTTTTGGACTTTGTGAATGCCCCCTATAAACCCGATTTTGGACGTATTTTGGACGTTGCGTACTTTGGACGCTGCGGTTTTGGATGTTGCGTACTTTGGACGCTGCGGTTTTGGACGCTTTGATACGGACCCGTGCAGTGTATATAGCCTCAAGTTGAAAACGCGACGATTGATTGCATTGCATTGCTGGACTGAAAAATGATGATCAGAGAATTGCTACAAAATGTGAGTACCTCCACTGACGTGTTAGATCACCATTATTACGTGATACCATGCGATAGTTGCTGCCCTTTGCCTTTTTTCTTAAAATTTATCGTCATTCTGCAGTTCCTCAGCCTAAAAGATGCAAATTGTACGACCATTTTCTGTCCCATAACTCAGTTGGTAAAGGAGAAGATCACTGGTGGTGAGAGCCCGGGTTTGAGTTGCTCCGGTGCTCAACATTTGAGATTCGTGACAGGGATGGTCTGCTGTTGGTGGGAGTAGCCGCAGCGCAGCCGGTTCAAGTCATTTCATTGCGACGCGAAGTGCGACGGACCGTGTCTTGCCTTGACGAGCACGCTATAGACTTCGGCGTCTAAAATTTACAGATAACCAAAGATTACCATATCGGGCAGTAGGGGTTGGAACCTGCGGAACAAGCTCTGCTTAGCGCTGGCACCGGCTCTGTCAATTCGTCCACTTAAACATCCTAGCTAAGTGTGTTAAAGGATTGCCACATAACCTGTTATTTTACCTTCTTACCATGTTCTAGACATTGTTTCTGTTGAAAGTGATCGTTAGGCGGCACGGGCGGACATCGATAGCAGCGCCTCTATCGGTCACTAGGGAAAGCTGGGCTGTAGGCGACGAAATACCGGCTGAGTTGTCACACGTTGAATAGGTTTATAGACATCCGTCTTGTGAAAAAGTTGAACTTTTGCCTTCAATATTTCTACAGACAATTTTAAAGTGTCTTCACATAGATTACAACACCGTTTAGATTGTTGTATTCACTTCAAGCCTTCCCTATTGTTCTTGATGATGCAGGAACTATTTCTAATAAGTGTTTCTAGCTTAATAAAAGAACATATTGTGCAAACGATGAAAAAAGCATAGATGGAAGATTTTCAATGCAATTTTCTCTAGCAATTAATGGTAAATTCTCTACAGATCAAGGAAAAGGTGTATGCTAACTGATAATTTAAAGTTCTTGGGGCCAGTTGTTTTCTTCTTTTCTTACGTCGCCCCAATGGCCGCGAATACACTTGTGATAACGCCTATCGTGTTTTGTCCGTGTCATACGGACATACTGTACAACATACCTCATATGGCGGTTCATAATGAAAAGTGCCCTCTGGTCAGAGCATTCTAATTTGGCACAATCGCACATCGATATCGTATTCTCATGAGAGCGACTGTATGCACCTAAACCTCTAAGCCAACCCA